AGGCTGTAAAGCACATCATCTAATCAGCTTAACTCCACTCTCTGGAGAGGGGACACCTGATACATTCTGCTGTGGGATTCCAAGAAAACATGAAGAGTGAAAGAAAAGGCTGGTTTCCACACATATCTCAGGAATTAAAGCAAACTGATCTCAACTGCTCTGTTTTATCCGTTTTATTTCCCCCTTAAAGGTTTTTGGAAGAATAAGCAAACAAATTAATAGACAAGAACAGTGCACACAAGAACTACATACTCGAACAGTGCCATAGCCATGGTTCTGCAAAGAGAGTAGGAATTAAAACAATGCATTGGAACTGCCCAAAGTAATTGAGAAAATTGAATGTTCAGCCCTGTGGTTCAGGTTCCAATGCTACATTTATTTGTTAAATTATGCTGCCACCTGCTGGACCAGGGAAATGGCTTTAAATCAAGCTTTACGTGTAAGTTTAATTGCTTACATCCGATTTCTGTTTATTCAAAATGCTATAGGCAAGTTATTTTCCAAAGTGATCATTTAGTGCCTCCCTTACAACGTTATCTGCCATGTCATAGTAGAGGTGGCACATATGTAATAAGGATCATCTTACTTATAGAAGTTTTGTGGCATGGTAGCCAATATTTTATAATCAATTAATGAAAAGAAGCTAAAGGATCGACACATGGCATGAAATAGGGGTTCCCGGTAAAAGCAAACGGTTATCGTCCAGGAAATCATTACCCACATCGTAAAATGTAACCGTGCGGGGTTGTCTGTGAATGTGAAACGTCGACAGACAGGTTTTCACTGCAATATCGCACCCTGGCGTCCGGTCTCCGCCACTACACGTAGACTGGGCTTTAAAAGCTGAAGCTGCTGCTGAATACTGTCAAATGGAACTTAATGAAAAATCACGAATTTCTCGCAAAGAAAAAATAGCAGCAACAAACATAACCAATTAAAAATGGGTACATTTTTACATTTCTACTTTTCCTTCGTTCACTTACATTTAGCCCAGACTATCCGACAAGTTATCTGGCCAAGCAAGAAGGCCAGCTTGGTGATACACACACAAGCTAACAACATACACATAGCTCACAGTTTATATCTAAATAGTTCTCTAATTTTAAGTAAAGTAAGTAAAGGGGACTACATGGATGTCACTTTTCAGCGTAGTCTGCTCAGAGACTAAGACATGCATCCCATCATCCTACCACACAGATTTAATTAATCAATTAATGCATTTTCTTCAGAAATAAGGTTACTCACCCGTCAAAAGATCCGATGCAGAAAATCTGGAGCCATCAGCCCATGTGTGTCGAGCTGGAGGCGACCGAGGTTCGGCTCCATTTTACACGATTCCGATAGGACCAAAAAAATCATTCCGTTATGTCCAGTCTGCATGACCTTATGATGGTTTATAAACAGTTCCTATTCTCTATAACCCAGGCTCCAACTCAGAAGAAGAGCAATAAAACAGAATCAAAGTTGATGTAGTCACTTTTGACGCAATTTGCGAGGCTTTGTGCATACTGAATTGGCAATATAAATTGGAAACCTTTTTACTATAACAATTATTCGGTTATTTACTACAGTCTTAAACATTTGTGAATGAGTTGATGACACGTTCATGAAGCGATAAATTTTCGCCGATAAAAATCAGTGGCACGACTTCAGTTCTAAACAACTAACGATGTATTTGCCTACATCCTTCACGACAGGTTTGCTTAAAAGACATGTACGCAAGAAAGACAAGTTTCCCTGGCAGTACGTTTTAGCTACAAACATCTCACTGAAGGAATTCTGTTACAGTTAAGTAAATTGAGGAAAGATGACTTGACCAGTTTCCTGCTATGTTCTGTTATCCGACAGAAAATTAACCAGTAAGCCGGTATATTTGGTTTCACATTTATCCGCCGTTACTGGCGCACCGAAGGCCGCTCAGTCCTCAGCTGCCAACTTTAGGTCTTCAGCCGATTGCGCCCGCGCGCACGGCGAGCGAAACTAAATCGACGTGCTCGTGCCCCTGGGAGCAGTGGCGCCCTCTGCAGTGCCGGCACAAAACAGCTACGTGCGGAGCGGCTAAGGGGAAAGAGATCATCGGGGACGCTTTAATGCTCAGTGACTCGGGTTTAAGTCCAGGGGTCTCAGTTGAACAGGGGCCTCAACTAACCTCGATTAATACCATTTTAAACTTGGAGTTAGCACCCGTCCGGTTCTGTACGCCAGTCCCTCTCAATATATTTTTTAAATGTTATCGTCAGGGAACCCCACCCCCACGACACTCGACAAATTTTATATTTAATCGTGGAACATAATTGGATTGGTCTGGGTTGGGGGCCGAGTATGAGATGCTTTCATGAGGCCCGAAATCAAATGTCGGGAGGATAATTTCAGTAAAGCAGCTGAGAGCTGTGATTGTGTAAGAAGTCATATAGGCCATCTGACTAATGCAACTTGATCAAATTACCTTTGGAAAACCAAAGTATATATATGCAGACAACTGGCATGCATGTGTAACTGCTTTAATACAGCTGGTGATCATCAAATGTACTGCAAAATCCATATGTACCTGAACAGTACATTACTTTAACAGTTTCTTTGGCTGTTAGTTAACTATGGTTTTAAAACTGTCAGTTAAAAATCTTTATTAAAGGCTACTTTGTTCAACTCCCCTGAAATGTAAATGACCCAATGATTTATTATTAGACCTATTACTTAAGCAGAATGCATCTTAAACTGATGTGGCAGATGAGCAGATATTTTTATTTCTTATAAGCGCAAATGTTCAGTATGGCTGTCTAATCTAATAAGGATACATTGTGGATCTTCAATACAGCAGCAGTGAAACCCATAGATTCGTACAATTATGCATGAGCGCAGTTCTAGGTGAATACACTGGGATGTTGGTGAGAATAAAATAATTATCTAGCCATTTAGGGTGTTTAATGGGGCGTTTTAGTTTGTCCATTGCAAATAAGGATCGGTGTTTCCAATCAGCTTAGTAACCCTATTAGCTGGAGAATAATGACTCAAGATGGTGATTTAAAAATCTAATTAATGTTTGCTTTGGGACTTGAAAGTGGTCTTTCGGTTGTGTTACCGCGATAGCACATAGTAAATGCAATATTTTTTGCTGCAAAGATAATTAAGTTTAATTAAATAAGCCGTACATCTTGCTTTTTTTTTTCCAGAAAATGAATCCCAGTGCTTATCCTACTGCACTGTTTCCAGAGGTCGTTTTTCAGAGAACAAGAAAGAAAGGACAGAATGTATTATATTCATGTCAAATGTTGTTGGCTGTATCTGTAGAGTAGGCTTAGCACCATCTCTCATAGTTATAAGTGTATATGTAAGTCTTTTGATTTTAAGGATATTGACTCCTCTTTCAGTCTAATTAGGACAGGGGTCTCCAACTCCGGTCCTGGAGAGCTACTGTCCAGTAGGTTTTCTATCATACCTGGCTTCTGATGAGCCACACCTGTTCTCAGGTAAATACCAGGGCCAGGTGTGGCTCATCAGAAGCCAGGTAGGATAAAAAACCTACTGGATAGTAGCTCTCCAGGACTGGAGTTGGAGACCCCTGAATTAGGATGTAAGACTGTGGTGGGGCACTTGTTTACTTTGAAATACAGGGTGTGTAATTAATCTCCAGGTGTCTGTCTAAGGATGTTGCCAAGACTACACTGGCGGCAGAAGCAGTAACTCGTTAAGGAACAAGGGACAGATAAAGACTGTTCTTTAGTTTTGTGAACACAAACTGCTCATCCCATGTTTCTTAACATTACCCAGGTGGGCTGTATGTCCCGCCTGCCTTTATCCAGGGTCTGCATGGCATATTAAGTATGGATCGTGACCGTAATTGCTGTCATCTCAGATAACAAAGTGGACCGGTGATCCTACCTCTTCATGCATCGTCACATTTGAAAAAGGTCAGCTGAAAGCAAACAAGCACCTGCAAGAACTTAGGCGAGTGGACATCCTGTTATTTCAGGAAGTTTATAGTTGCAGTTGTACCTGCTAACGTCACCTGCTCCTTTGTCTGTTCATAAAGGCACCAGGCTTCCTCATGTCAGTGGTGTAGATTTCAGCGTAATATGATGGCCATGCTATTGGCTAAGCTTCCAACATCCTTGGCGTATCTAGCAAATAAATGCATCCTTTTTACTTTGTATCTGTAAAATATTTGTATAGTAAGTTTACAGCATAAGATTGAGCAGAAGCTTCTTGTTGCATATAATTTTTGTATGCTTATTTTAATTCCTTTCTTATAAACATCCTTAAAGCGCTTCGCTAACCCTGCGGGTAAAAGTGCTATTTAAATAGCAAAATAAATAGGACAGCAGAGCTGCCAACTTTGGTCAGCTGGCCAGAGTGAGATTTTCAACTCGTCAAGTCTGCACACGCATTTACACGTATGTAACCGTTTTACCTTGTAGTCTGTAGGGTTTGCAAACTGCCCCAACGCTTTTATTGTAAATAATTTTAGGTTTATGATGGAATAATATACATTTGCCATCGGATTTCTTGCACGAGCGCGAGTTTGAAATCATGAGTGTCACACCAGATGCATGACAGTTGGCGACCCAGGGATGGAGCACAACAGACACCCCCCCCACATTCATTTGCCATTCAGAAGCTCCTACTCATTCATCTGGTTTCATTATACAAACAGGACTGAACAGTTGCAAGAAAAATGAAATTCACCAATTGAGGCAGAATCGTATTTTAAAAATCTTTAAAATGTGAAGATGGACGTGTTCCAGTAAGTGGTGTCACAGAGTCATGCTGGTTACATGCGACTCCATGGATATCCCTGACAGCTATCGGCCTTACTGGTGCAAGTATTCCTGAGTCACCAGTGTCATACTGGAAAAGGGGAACACTTCAGGGGCACTTAAGTACTGGGGTCTCAAACATAAAACATATGTAGCTTGTTAGCTAGTAAAATTCATTCCAGGCCGCTGATACAACCTACACCAGAACATTCACTGCAGGCAAAAATCAAATCACAAGAACAATGCTAAAAATTAAAAAAAGTTTATTTATTCAAATAAACTGGTGGCCCACAAATTTAAAAGTATTTAAAAAAAAAAAAAATGTAATTATATAAACTCACCCATGACTCATTCAGGCAGAGGGACTGTCAACTATAACTAATATTGTTACAACACCAAAGACTGAGGCAATGCGTTTTTAAAACAAAACCAAAAGTGGAAGGACTGTGAGGATGTGGCCGGCGCTGAGGGCTTCAGGCATTTCGGTCGATGCGGACGTCCACCTCCCTGCCGTTGATCTTGGTGCCGTTCATCAGGCGGCAGGCCTGCTCCGCGCTCTCCGGGGAATCAAAGCGAACCGTGCCACAGCCCTTAGACCTTCCATTTTCCATCTTTATTTCAGCAAACATCACCTGACCTGCATCAACACGGGTAACAAGGCTTGGCATTCTGCTATGGAGGCGGCCAGATACTCATTTCATTTACTCAAAGTGAGACTCCTGTCTGTCTGGATTCTAAAACGTAATAAGGATACATTTCATATACAGAGGATCAACTGCCGCTAACAGAGGCACACGGCTGAGTTCTTAATGATGCCCTGAGTATCTTCAGCACTTACCACAATGCCTGAATTTTTCCTTCAACTGCTGCCACGTAACATCATAGGAAAGCTGAAAAACAAAAATGAGCGACATTAAGTTTTAAAAGGTCCAAGCAGTGACAAACCTCTTATACACGGACGTACGAATTAAATGACACAATTCAAGATCACTGCCATTTCATGAAAGTCCTCACAGCTTATCTACTCTCTCGTGTATTCTTATTTTAGATATTTTTCCCGAAACTGGATGTATGCACAGCCCTCACCTCTACTCCGACAGTGAAATGGGCTGACAGTTATTCAGTTATTCGGTTATGTTTGCTGCCATCACCATTTATTGACCATTACTAAGGTTGTGAACATCTTCGAAGAATTTCCAGTGAGGGCACGAGATTTTTAAATCCGGAGGCACTCACATTCCGTACAAATATCTGGCAACCCGCCTTGGACCCAGAGCCTCTGTCTGACATCACGGCACCCATGTGGGTGGTGCCAGTGCCATAGCCGCCGTAGCCACGGTTCATGTCCATGCCGACCCGGTCAAAGCTGGAGCCCATGCGGTCCATGCCACCACCTGAACAAACCGCACAGGTTAATATAAAATGCTCACCCCTCCACCTCGCAGGTTAGCCTCTTGGCAGTTCCTCTAGCAGCTCTCTGCTGAGAATCGTACAGAAATTAAACAGGAAGTGTGGAGTTACCTAATCCGGAGCCCATGGGCCCACCGCCTGCACTGGCCATGCCACTGCCGTAGGCCCCCATCCCGCCACCTGCGGAACGATAGCCCAGCTGAGAGCGTGGCACCAGGCAGCGACCGGGCACAGCCAGGCTCGCGAGAGGGGACACAACATCAGGCGCGTATGCACTCACACTTATACTCACCCATACCCCGGCTCATCGACATGTCGTTCCGGCCAAAGTCGCGGTTCATGCCCCCCATCGCTGAAGGATACATGTCTGAAAGAATAACAGGGTAGACAAACGTCCCGAAAAATGAGAAACACTCAGCTGCTCTGACTGAATTTTACCCAGCATTATATCTACAGGGGCAATATCTAAAGAAGAAGAAAAGATCTGATAGTGACAGGATCCAGGACCCTTCAACTCCACAGCGACCCACGCAAGAGTGTATCCATAAGATAGAAGGCTGGGCCCTGAGCCAGGGGGGGGTCATGTGGGGGCAATGATCAGCCATTACTGCGTCTGCTGGGCCAAGGCCAAAGGGCCATAAGTGCCACAGACCCTCTGGAGTGGGATTAACGACGGCATCAGGGCATGTGACCAACCCAATACGATCCATCGAAAGCAGAACATTAACAGGATGAGGTCAGGTTGAAGAGGCAGCCACGTGCCACGTGGGGGGGTCGTGGGGGGACATTGCTGCCTTGGATAGGGTGCAACGTAGGGCTACAAGAATGATTCCTAATATTAGGGGAGTGTCTTCTGAGGAGAGGTTAGCTGAGCTGAATCTGTTCAGCCTCGCGCAAAGGAGACTAAGGGGGGACATGATCCAGGTATATAAGATTCTAACAGGTCTGGATGCTGTTCAGCCAAATGGCTAGTTCAATATTAGTTTAGATACTAGAACTCGTGGCCATAGGTGGAAATTAGCAGGAGAACATTTTAAAATTAATTTGAGAAAACACTTCTTTACACAGCGTGTAGTTAGAGAATGGAATAATCTTCCTGTCAGTGTAGCGGAAGCTAAAACCCTGGGTTCCTTTAAATCAGAGCTGGATAAGATTTTTAACAACTCTCAGCTATTAGTTAAGTTCTCCCCAAACAAGCTTGATGGGCCGAATGGCCTCCTCTCGTTTGTAAATTTCTTATGTTCTTATGGGGGGGGGGGGGGGTCGGGGCAGTGCCATACCTCCCATGCTGTTCCCCATGCCTCCGAGACCCATCCCGGTCATAGCAGGACCACCCCTGTAATCATCCATTCCTGGGTAAGAGAACCAACCAAATGAATCAGGCAGGGCTGCACATTTTCCCCCATCACAGTACACATAAGGACCAGAATGCACCTGGGGTTCAAAACTACACACTCAGCCAGGCCTTGTACCATCAAAAGTAACACCGTGATGAGGATGATTACCTCCCATTCTGCTCATGGGGGTCATGTCTCTGCCCCCATAGCTGCCCATGCCATCCATACTGTTAAAGGATCCAGTGCCTCCCATCCCTAGCAGAGCAAAGTTAAAGTTCGGATTAGTTATAAACTCCAGACGGCACAGACACAACGACTTCCTGCCAAACAGACAGCGCAAGGCGATCTGAGAGGGCAGACAGACGCACCTGACATTCGGCTCATTCCTCCGTATCCAGGTCCATCCATCCCTGCAAAACACACAGTATTAGTGCAACAGATGCGCAAAAACTTTCCAGTGAAATAAATGTTTGCTTATACTGCCCGCAGGAAAAAAAAATGGGCAGCTTTATAATAAGAGCAGAAATCAGCTTTCAAAGTGGCATATAGGCCATTTTCAAATCTATATCAATTTTTGCGTGATGCAAAAAGACTACTGAAGCTGCAATATCATCATCTTATTGCCTCAAGCTTAAGTAATGAGAAACATGACCGATATACAGGGATTGACATAACTGGTACGCAAGTACACATTCACCTTTAAAAGCAATACGTGCGGCAATCGATTGTTGTAACAGTGTGAATGCGCGCGTATTTTAAGTGCATTTGCGTCGATGATGCAAAAAAACTGTGCATTTTAACTTTTATATCCTAAGTCGTACTTCATTTGTGGTAGAGAGGTTTAAATGCACGGTAATTTGTCATATCGGCAAAAATGCACTTAAAATACGCACGCATGCGCGCTGTTACATTGTTCGATTGCCGCACGTATCGCTGTTAAAGGTGATTGCGTACTCGTGTACCAGTTATGTCAATATATTATGTTTAAAAACAGGTATAGTAGGTAGAGTGCAGAGGTGCACACTGTGAGAGAAGCAGCACGCAGGTATAGTAGGTAGAGTGCAGAGGTGCACACTGTGAGAGAAGCAGCACGCAGGTATAGTAGGTAGAGTGCAGAGGTGCACACTGTGAGA